ATTTCAGATAAATTAGCTTGTGAACAAATATATTTTATTTAATTCAATTCACTTTAATACTATTTATTTCAAGTGAATAATTATTTAATACACTAATTTACTCTTAAAAGCTCATTCATTAAAGTTTATCAAAATATATTAGAGTCAGTTAAATAAATATACGAAATAATTTAAATTACATCGTTATTAGTAATTGATCTATCTCAATTACTCTACAAGATTATTACACTACTATACAAATCTATGTGAATTAAAATCATACGCATTTAGTGTTTAATATTAAAAATATATATATAAACAATTGCAATATTAAACACAATTCATATGAGTTTTTTTAACACACCTTGAAAATATTTAATTTGCAAATTATAATTAAAACAATCCATAATTAAAAATCTAACATTTTTTTAACATAACCATTAATCAATGAATTTCTTTATAATTAAAAGACCCTTATCCTTTGCAATTATATGAAAAATGCAGAGATATTATTTACAAAAAAAAGTTAATTGTTTATTAGCAACTCAGATCAAACGTTTACTTCAAAGCTTATCACTTTTATTTTCATTTCCTTATTGCTCGGAAATAATTATCCACTCGACTAAGTTCACAAAATAACAAAATAGAAATAAGAATGTAATTTTACAACAATAAAAATCAGTAATGTTGAATATATAAACACGCGAAGACTATTGAAGTATGTGACATCGAACACGGATGAACGGAGGAGAAAGGGTTTTTCAGGTGTGTGAGCAGTTAGATCGGGAGGGATGAAAAAGCGTTGCAAAGAGCAGGAGGGTGGGAGTGACGAGTACATGAAGCATGCTTGCTCGTCAGTCGCTCCGGAAACGCGCAGCTGGCTAGACATAGTCACTACCTCATCGTTCATTCTTGTATGTATTCTTTCATTAAACAAGTTTCCCATTCATATCACGCGAAAGCATGTTTTTTTACTCATTCAATTACTGTTTGTGTGCTCCAATAAATATATATATTAGTTACTGCTAATTTTATTTTTTATCTTAATAATATGTGAAAGTGAAAGTTACCAATAAGTAATTATCTATTGTTAGTGTTTGATGTGAAGTGATTTAAGTGCCTTCGAGTTATTATTTTTATAAATAATTAATTATTATTTCCTTACATAACATAAAATGGTCAGCTTTAAAACAAACAATTGTTCGAGGTAAAATCAAATTTTTTCTTCCCCAAGTCTGAACAAAAGAAGGCTTTTTCTCGCCTTCATTTCACTCCTACATTATCTAAGATATATAAAATGTCGACGGTTATGAATGAGCAAATATTTCTCACAGTATAAGACCTCACTTTAAGTCTTGGCCGTATCTTATCACCCGTCCGGTTGCCGGCTCTTCGAAGCAACCCGTGATTCTGCGACTATGACATCTGTTTTCTAATGCCAATAGCCTTAAGCTTGTTGACTTTATGCTTGATAGCTTAATGTTAAATTACATATCATTTTTTATGTGTTGGAAAAAAATCAACATTTACTTGGGGTTATATAAAAACACATGAAGAAACTCAGTGCAGAATTACGACATGTAAATAAAAGTAAGATGAAGAAAGAGAGAGAGAGAAAGAAAACGATGATACAAATGATGATGACGCTATTATCATATGTGTAATTTGACTCATCCAAGTTTATTTAAATTATCGTCACGCACTACAGACTCTTGTGATGACCCTGACTATCCTCGAAAGCTATTGTAACTCGTCTCGTGTTTTTCTGAGGAATTTTTATTTTTATATCACTATACGAATCAAGATTTCATAAATAGCAATTTTTGACACACAATAGTCTTTGTTGATTTTCCAATTTTGTTTGATTTACTTTTGAAATCATTACTGTTCTCAAATATAGAAAAGCTGATTGTGAAATTTAATCCAGCTTTCTCATCAATAATCTCTCCATCGTCGAAAGATAAATTATTGTGTGGTATTTAATCTGAAGGTTTTAATAACAATATATAAAGTGATTTTCGATATTTTAAATGAAGCTGATTTCCCTCATAATAAATGATTAACAAGCTTAAATTTCCAATGGATTAATTTTCTATGTCGATTTTATATTAAATTCAATGACACGATATTCGTAGAAAAATTAATTTTTTACTATAATTTATATTTTTGGCAGTAAAGAATTATTAAATCTTCAATTATTAAGACAAAATATTTTTGAATTACTACTGAACATTGTTTTCCTTTTTTCAACGTAATGGTATTAAATATAAATTAAAATACTCATTTCAACTTTAATAAATACTTCATTAATTAATAAACAGGTCAATTTAGCAAGTGAATTAGTACAGGATTATAGAAAACAGCATAGTCCTGTAATAATTCATTTTCAGATACATATTTTTTCGCAGTTATTATTTGTATCATAATAGAAATAACGAGAAAAATAATTGAAAGCAAAACACATCCTAAATAAATTGAAAAATTGATTGTTATTATTTCCAATTAAATTTCTTCAATTGTACTGCAATTTTTATTTCAAAAAACCAACAAGAATTTATTCATTCACAACATTGTTAATTTGCTTGAACACAATTTTCGTGTATTTCTGAAACAATCTTTGTCTACAAGTGTAATATAACGGAAAACAGAGAATTGTTGAAAACGTCTGAAAATCACACTTTGTTTCGGGAAGGTCATGAGACCGGAAACTCCTAGTTCGTATATACAAATCTATGTACGCCTCGTTTATCTCCAGTTTGGAACAATGCTTTTGGTGTACGAAATATTATTTATGCACAACCAAAACATCTCGTTAAGATTATTTCTAGGTTATTCTTATTAATGCAGTTTTTAAATATTCCCTCATTTTTGTGTATGTCAAATGTACAAAGAAACACAGCTGTTACTTTTTATACCGGAAGTCAAATAAGTTCTTCCTTGCTATCGTGGAATATATAATTATAAGCAGGTGAGGCGTCACAGGAACGCCCTGAATCACAAATTACTTTAAAATAAAAGTTAGAGTGTAATAACATCCGATTGTGGACAAAGAAAAAATTCGTATTTATTAATATATTCATGTGTCTCTAATGTTTGATTTATTTTTTTCTCGTCACCGTTAAATACATGGAGAAAGATTTCCGCAGGAAATGAAAATTTTATAAACTAATATTGGGTAATGATTATAGTTTTTTTTTTTTCAATATTTTAATGTTCAATATTATTAAATATTTAACATTATTAATGACAATCTATAAAATTTATGTACTAATTATTTATTGACAATTGAACTGGACTCATGACTTTGGCAGACTCATTAAATCATTCATTGTAATGATAAATTTAGCATTCTAATGAATCCAATACTCTAGTCTACAGTTATCATGATCATAAGATTTTTTTTGGTGACATAATATCTGTAATCACTTGTTCTCAAGGGCGGAATGAAAAGAAAATTTACGGGAAAATCCTTTTAGGAATGAACGAAGAAATAATTGCATCTTATAATTAGTGATCTGAAGAAGTAATAATTCACAGAAGACTGTCTTTGACATCTAATTTATTTTTTATACTTACAGACATTGATAGGAAGAGAAAATGAATACTCCATTAAGGACAAAAAAAAGTAGTTCACTTTAAAAAGAATTTGATTGAAGGGTTATGTATAAAAATAAAGTGTGCATCAATAGAGTTAATTATTATCATAGTGAAGAAGTCATGAAAATAAAAGAATATATAGTGGAAGTGACATCATTCTCAAAAATAGATATCGAATGGCGAATAGTTAATAACATCCGATAATTATAAATCCAAGGGAAAACATGATGGGAAAATGCTTGATATCTGATTTATTTCTTTTATTATTCTATTTTCAAGCAAGTATAAACTGAATACTACAAAAAGTCAACGTTAAGAGATAATATTTACCGGATGAGGACGACATAAGAGGGACGATTTATCTACTTGTTTAAAGGTGTAATCTCGCTCACTATAATTGTGATTACTCTACTCTGATAAGACCGTACTTCGTAGAGCACCTGACATACATATTTTACATACAAACACACACACACACACACATACAATACTTATGTACATATCCATCCATCCGTCTATTTATCCATTTATTCATTTATCCGTTTGTCCATTCGTTGATACAATGTATATGTACATACATATACATAAATAATATATCTGCAGAGGGAAAGATTTTCAAATCATTATGTACGTCGTGAATATTTTCCCAGGACATCGTTTAGTGATAAAATCATGATATGGAGTAATTAGTTTGATACTTTTAAAAGCATCATTATTATTATTATAACAATTAATTGATACAATTAAGCAACAATAATTAATTGAAACAAAAATTCTTTTTTTTTCAATGCATTAAAAAAATATAAAACATGAATGAATTTAAATGAGAACTATTCAGGGATTAATTAGGATGATAATTGGGCTTAAAGTGATAATAAATGCTTCTTTAAATAACTTTTTGTGCAATTAGTAATAAAGTTATAAAACAAAATATTTGTATGGTTTTTAGACATTTATTATAAATCGATATGAGCAATATTACTTGTAATGTATTTATTACAAGCTCATTTCAAAAAGACATTGCAGTAATCAAATTTTACGAATTTAATTTTTTTTTATATTACCTGGCAAAAATATTGCGCCTGTGTACAACCACTTACTTCACTTTCCCACGTTCCACCGGCTATGTTGATGACATAGGCCTTGTTATGAGAAACAGATTAAGTGTAAATTGGAAACAAAATATTCAAAACCTGCTGAGTAATGAAGCTGTTACTACTAGCCCCCTGTTCCCCTAATAGGATTGTTTGAAATCAGTCTCAATCCTACTGTTATCTATGTCGGTTTATAACGGCTTTTCACCCCTATTTACCAAGGGTAGAGAGTTCTGTTTTACCATCGGAGGTATTCGCAAGAAATAGCTAAAATAGACATCTGCAACTGGCGAGAAATTTTATCGAATGTATCTGATGATGTTGTTTCAGTGAGCATTCACCGGCACATTGCCATCATCTGGGGACATTGTGTAGTCCACTGAGGCATTGCAGCAACAGCTACCCTTTGAGTCAAGGCCATAGTCATGATCGAACACTGCCCTCACGTTGTACACCACCTAGGACTACTTACCCTCTATCACATGGCTGTGCTTTGCATTCGAGGTAAGATTACCTTTCTATTATACAGATCTCTGCATTTACTAGCATCGAGTATGAGGCATTAACATTTATTTATAATAAATTAACCGCAAATGCCATGAATTATTTATTTATATCAATACAAAATATTCCACTTGTTTGTCATGTCGTTTTTAATTTATGAAAGATCAACTGGAAGATATTTATTAGGTCGTTGATGAATTTTAATTAATTTTAATATTGATGTGACTTGTGGTTTCCCACAAATTTGATATTCTTGTTTGGACACTAGACTTGGTAAAAACGATGGAATTCATGTTACCACAAAGAAACCGTACGAAAGAGATGGGATTTCTCGAGCCATAAACACTTTGGTTACTAGCAACTAGTCTGAGGAGAACCCGGTCGTACATTCTTGTTGATTTATACTTGAGTCACCATGAGTAAAAGAAAGGATAAACTAGGTGGTAAAACGTACTCGCGTACATTGTGTACGTACCATAACTTCATTCGACGACCTATCGTACCATCAAGTTTCCTCATTCCATTACTTCCCATCCCTTATCCATAGAACGGCGCCACGTTAACTTTACTTACGTTGTGCGCTCCGCCCCTTGAACTCTCCCTCTCTCTATTTCCTTCGGCAAAATTTGAAACCCTCGTGTAAATTGCATTCTCACGTCAGAGATTTTGAATGACTTATTAAGTGAATATATTTGCACAATTAGATCAAAATTTACCCTGTCAATTTCATCGCCAATGATTTTTTAAACAACGGACATGACGGTGGATATTAAATAACTGGGGATGGTTTTAAGATTTTATCTGCATCTGAAATATTGTGAATCGATTTCCTTACGGATTATAGACATAGTAGTTTCTGATAGAACTTTATATTTTTAAAGACTTGGTAAAAATATTCGATAAACTTATATTATTTTTTTTATGAATAATTAATTGTTATTTTAAATTTATTTATGATTCATCTTTTATTTTTCGAGACACTAGTCTTTCTACGAATCCTAGAATAATGAGAATTTAAAAAATTTTAAGATCTGAAAAGAAATGTCATCTTGTTGTAAAAGGACAAAGAAATCAGCATTTTTAAGTATGACTCATAAAATACTTTTAACTTTAAAAATATTCAACATAATTCTTTGGAATAAATGAAAATTAGAATTTATTTTGAATGATCAGTTTTTTATTGAGAAAATATCAGGGAAATTTTCTAGATAATTAAAAAATTTTTTTCACCTCTATTACAGAATAGTATTGATTCTAACTACAAAACAACTTAAATTCTCTCATTAAAAATAATGAAAGGAGTCTATTGATTGAACTGTCGTGTTTCCTATTATCACAAATCAATCATTAAACTTGGAACCTACTTTTTGCTACTTAAGCAAATCCCTAGTGGGTTAACTTTACGTCGACCTATCATAACTCTCGTGAAGACTAAGTCTACTGCAAGATATTTTTTGCTGAAAAGCACCTCGAGGTGAAAAGCAAAGTTTTAGACGAAAGAGTGCAGTAAATCGAAAAACAAAGAAAAAATAAAAACCCTTATAACGAAACAAAAAAAAAATAGGAGAGTGTGAAGAGAAAGCACCTTCTATTTTTCCTTTCAGAGTTTGCGACGGTTTCAAGGAATCCTAGAGATGGTTCTAGATGGCTGGCACTCTAGACAAGAAGGGAAAAACGTGGAGGAAGAAAGACTGTCTTGGGACTATAAATAACTTAAGCCATGGCCATACATCGTATTCGTAGAGCGTTACTTCCGCAAGGGTGGATCTCCTCACCCATCCTGGTCTACCCTATCACCTTTTCCTCCATTTCTAGATCTGTTCTACGTCCTTTGTATCGCTCTCGAATTATCCTCGATGCTCTTAACCCTGAAAAAGTATCATTGATCGGCCACGTATCCCTGGTCAAGGATTTTATCTCTATTTTTTGACATCAAAGTGAAAAAGAAAATATCCCTCTGTCCACATTACTCTCTGGAATCTCATTTGATCGTGTAATCTATGTAAAACATGATTTATGCAGATGATGTATTATTTTCTTTGTGGATAAAATATGTGATATTTTTCTGAGTGTATTTTTAGAGCTATATATATTCTAATTAAATTACGAATCCAATAAGCTCAGATTGGACAAAAGTAATAGATTAATTTTTGAATTGTTACACCGAAAGAATTTTATAGTATTTTTAACCAGTCAATTTACGAGGAAATTTACTAGCAATAAAAATTAAAAATTACTAGGTTTTTTTTAAAATAACTAAAAACCTTAGTAATTATCGATATTATTTACCAATAAAAATACGACTTCTGAATATTTTTTTGGCAATTTTTACTTGAAAAATACCTAGTAACTTTTAATTTTTTTACTAGTAAATTTTACTATAAATTGACTAGCAAAAATTCCTATAAAATTTCCTCCCTATATAAATATCAATTTTAAAAATAAAGCTTGCAGAAAAATTGAGTTGAAGTTTTAAAGTAAAACGTGATATAAACTATTGCATTTACATGGAATCTTTATTGCCATAAAATTCGTCAATACTTCAAAGAAAGTCTTTCATGTGAATACTCTGAAAAAATCAGAGGGAAATGAATGAAACTGATTTTCTTATGTAAAAATATTTCATAACTATTGTTATTAAAAAATACAATTTACTTCTAAAAAATGCCAAAAAAATTTTCACGTTAAAATATTTATTTAAATTTCAACAAATTAACACAGTTTTTGGATCATTTAATTCACTAAAATCTTCTCCAAGTAGAAATACCTAATTTTGTTCCGACACAAAAAAATACCTCGTCTCACATACGGTTCTTTTGTTCCAACAGTAAATTTATTAAATATGAAGTTTAATTTTTCATTTTAATTCGAAGCTACATTTTAGAAATTTTTTTTCAAAACTGTGAGTAAGTAGCCTCGAGGTTATGATAAATTAAAAACGTGAAGATATTTTCAATTGAAAAATACAAACAATAATACATCCATTTAATCGGATTATTTTCTAAAAAAAATAATTATTCTTCATCAAATGATTTTGTGGAAAATAATTTATCCATGAGAATACATTAGATAAATATTATTATTAAAGACGATAATAATCAATAGACAAATGAGGGTTTACGTGGGCTAACCATCGACCACCAACCACTCCTTCGAATCCGCAAATGCAATTATCCAACACATTCTCTCTTAGAGTGCAGGTGTAGGAGTTGGTATCCTCATAATTAAGCCATTATCGATATCTGTGGAGCAGGAATAATTTTGAAACAGATAAAGAGGGTTGGAGGAGAGGAGTGAAGTCATCCAAGTGGAAGAGGATAGTTCCGGACTATAGGAACCGCTTTTGGTTGCATCTATCTTACCCGATATCTAATAACTGATAACCAAAGTGCTCCTATAAAACTTGCGAAATTGAGCAATGCGACCATTGACCATGAACTAGATTATTCTGCAGAGATTTTTAAATATTTTATGGACGAAAAAACAGCCCTGGGGAAACTAAAACGATCAAGTGTTACTTTGAAAATTATTATAGCATCGTACATCAACTTTTAGGTCAGAAAAATGCAAGGACTCTGTTACCCACTTGGAAGCTTACCAATTTGTAAGGGGTTATCTTCATATTTCATCGTTTTTTTTTTTTGGCGGTTTTAGATATTTTTCTATTAGAAGAAAAGTGATGTAGAAAAAGGAAGAGTTATGTTGAAGATATTTAGAGCTTAATGATAAATATGTTGAACAATTTTTTAAACATTCAATAAATTTTTTAATATTTATTAGAGGTTAAAAAAAATTTATTATTCAAAAGACAATTAGTCTTTTATTGGAAATATAATTAAAAAGAATGTCTTTTAAAGGCGTGCCTTACTTAATCGATATTTATTGCAATTAATTTGCATTCTGGTATTTTTATTTATAAAAAAAAAGGAGATTGGAATTTTTCTTGTCAACGATTAACCTTTGGAATAATTTCATGCATAAGAAAATAAAGTGTTGATACAATTTTTTAAAGTACAGCTTAGTAATATTGATTTAAATGGTATTTTAATTAACCTTTGTAATTTATTTTATAATAAAAAATATTTTATTTTTTTCATGGTCAATTACAAATAATTGTGAGATTATAATTGATCTATTTTGCATCTGATAGATCTTCGAAATAATTAAAATATTTAATTCGAAAAATTATTCCTGTTTTTTTAAATTTAAATTTTAAGTCATGAATTTTTTTTAGTCTTTGCTGAATTTTTTACATCATAAATTTTTTAAAAATATCCTTTTTTAATCTTCCAATACGCTACTTTAAAATAGGAATTATGTGACTCTATGTATTTTATGATTATTCACTTCAAAATTCCAGATAGAGATGTTTTCAAAAAAAAAGTTCATTTTTTTCAACAATGTAAGAATTAAATAACAATAAGAGAAAAATGTAAACTTTGTTAAGAGAGGATATTAAATAAGTCTTGTCGAAAATTTTAATACCAGAAAAAAAGTTTTCATGTCTCACAGTCTGAGAGAAAAGTGTACCGGAAGCTTAAATATCCTTTTTAAAAACGAAATTGCACAGCTAACTTTGAATGGCTCGTAAAATGAGAACAAAATATCAGAGAAAAATGTGTCACTATTCAAAATTTACAGAAATACACATTCTTTTCAATGTAAAATTTTATTAATTTTAAAAAAAATTACAAATTGAAAGCAAAAATCAACAAAATAAATGTAATTCCTTCAAATTTTTTCAAAATTCCTTTGTCATGAGTTCAAAAATTCATGTGAACTCAAATTTATTAAATTTATTCCAAAAAAAAAAGCCTTTCTTAAAACCTGTTTCGTCATTTTTACAAAAAAAATCTTCACATCACTTTGAAAGCAAAACGAAATTTGATTCAGAAACGTAAGAGCCATTTAAGTTCAAAGAAAAAGAAGAGACCTCTTAAGAGATCTCGTGATGAAGTAAAAAATCAACGAAATATGGATAAAAAATTTGAAAGAGAAAT